GTAGGTGTGGGTTTGATTATGCATTTAGTTTGTTCATGAAAACGATTGTTTATTCATGTATTTTATGGGTGTATGTATGAAATATGTTGTTGACAGATACCTATTGACGACGACGCGATTACATCATATGTATACATATATATTAAACAGTTGGAACCGATGTATATCTCAATATTCAGACTGCTTAGAACATTGATCATTAAAACGCACGGCTATCAGAGACCATTTCTGACTAGACCTCTTCCATCTGTGACATTATGTCGAACTAACCCAATTAACCTTATTTTGTCACGTGCTATAGTCAATACTGCAATGGCAATTGGCAAGAGGAGATCCCCAGCGACCGTTCATCATGGGGCACATTTGTGGCCATCCGTGAGGACACACAGGCGAAGGTGCGCAAGCTCGTGGACGAAGTAGCCGGTCAGAACGACCTGGACCCTAGTAGCGTAGCTGGCAAGGTTAGTCAGCCTTGTATAATGTGTACGAGTGCTTTGGCTTGGCTTGTTCGCGTGCGATCATCATTGTTATGTCTGTCGTCGGTCTGTATTCCTCTCGTAGTCGGATATATACCCGTACACGGCTGATGTCTATGTCTTGTCTTCGCCTGGGGTAGTGGTACTGTATGTGTATCCTACGCGTTCTTTTCTATCCAGTTCTAGATGACGTCGAAAATACCATATGCCTTGCTCGGAGATATATACCACATGTCAAATCAAGAACAGAGCCCATGTGTGTATAAAGATACATCAACGTCTTCTTGCTTATGCAATGGACAAGACATATACACTCACTCTTTTTTGGAGAACCACTGTATTCGATCGTTTATTCTCGCTATATTGTTCTCATTGGTTTGTCTAGACGTTGACAAGAGCACAGATTACTTATGACGGTAAGCTGATAATCCATATTCCAGCAACAGTTACATCTTCCCGCATATATATATATATATATATATATATATGTGGACACAGACACACACACNCACACACACACACACACACTCTCTCTCT